GCCCGTGTCCGAGACACTGCCATGCACCGGACACTGCCATGCGAGGTTCATGTCGTGGCTTTTTTTGTATGCTCTGCGGCGAAACTCTGAAGGTGGCTAAACTCTAAAGACTCTAAAGATGCTTTGCACATCTTTGCATGTGTCCCTCTTTGAGTCCTTGAGGTTTGGCGGATTTGATCAGCAGCTGCAGAGTTGCAACAACTCCTGGCGCTGTCATCCATGGTATGTCGGAGGTAGGGGTTTCAGGGCCCGCCTTGGAACCTGAGCCCCCGATGAATCTGCCCATGTCCTTGAAGTGGACTTCAGCCCGCCCTAAGCGCACAGTGCGGAAAACGATCGTCATTGTGTTCCCTGGCGCAACGTCATCCCTACGCCTATCAGGCAATGCTGGTGCAGCTCTGCACCATGGCAAAGGAAGATGGCTTAAATCCACTTTACGCCCTGTTCTCATTTGAGTTTATGTGTCGCGCTTGTCTCGGGTAGGGGGCCCTTGTTATGTGGAGCGTATGCCGAGGCTGCATCTCAACCGCAATCTCAGTTCCCGGCTCAGATTCCTCAGATATACACTGACGAGCGAGAGCAGTGTAAGCCACCAATGCTGAGGTTGTTGCGAGCCCTGTCGGAGTCTTCATCTCGTTCGCAGGCGAGCATCTACTGTCGGCAGAGTTTCGCTCAATTCTGATTTCTGACTGGAAATATGGCCATCTTTTGGTTGAGCGGGATAGTGGGAGCAGGGGATGGGTTTGAGAGAAGGATGCACAGCATGCGCAAGCTGAGTCCTAGGACGCTGCCCGGCTGACGCTCATGAGCGTCCCGTCAAAGCTTTCACCCAATCTTGGGGCCGCATGAGGGTCGAAAGGCCCAAAAGGGTGCAGTAAGTGACCAGCCTGACAAGTTCTTTCCATGATTGGTTCCGAAGTAATGGATAGCGAGGGACACCTCTCATTTCGAAGAGGGGTCGTCCAGGGTCCGAGTTTAAGTCTGAAACCGGAGCGTTTTCTTCGGGCAGTCGGTCTGAGGGGCCAGGTTTCAGAGATCTCCCCCCCTGTCCGGCCGACAGTTTTGGAGCCTCAGAAGATTCCACTGGCCCTCTGCAGGCACATTCCGTTTCCATCACGCAGGCCTATGACCTTTGCATGCAAGATACACCCAGTCGGTCGCAGACCTTTTTGGACCATCCGAGGTGACACACTTCCCGTCCAAAGCCAGTCAAGAATCACCAGAGCGAGCCAAGGCCATGAGCCAAAAGAGACAAAGAGAGACTAGCGCCGACGGCTGTTGTGTGCGGCATTGTGCAAGTTGCACGTCCTTCTTGTGAGGCTGCTGTTGCAGACGATGACTACAACGCGCCCCACAACCTCACTGACGTCTTTCAAGCTCTGCAGTTTGCAAGCATGAGCAAGCAGGAGCCACCTCTGCACACTGCACATTCGATGTTCTTGAGAGACTTCCACTCCTTGACATTGCCACATGTTGCCACCCTGCCCGAGCATGCGAAGGTTGAAGAGAATGCCAAAAGCAAGCGACAGTTGCCCGTCGCTGTTGTGGCTTGACTAAATGAGCTAGAAAGCCCTCAGATTCAATTTGATACGCAGTGATAGACAATGTTATTCAGCATTCATGCTCTGAGGTGTCGCTGAATGCCAGGGGCATCCTGGCAGAGACATGCAGCTGTGCTTTTCTGCGGCAGTCGCCTTGGTTCCATTATGCTGTTGCAGCCAGCTGCTGAAGTGTCTTTCGCAGCAATGAGGTCTGACCTAAGATGCCTGGGGCATGCGATGCAGTTGACCGCAAGAGCCGTGCGCATCTGCGGACAGACTTAAGAAAGAAGTTTTGTGCTTTGAGCAAGCTGCCCTCCACAACTACAGGTACCCAAAGTCTGCTTCGAGGACTGAGGGAGCAATCTTAGCATGGCAGTGCCCATGCGCAGCCGTCGAATCTGGAACAGTCGGTTTTCGTTGGCAGATTTTAAGGTTCCTGACTGAGGCTTTCTATAGCCACCTCCGTGAACAGATTGTACAGAAGTTATCAGAACTGTTTTTTGCAGACCAGCCAGTAGACAGCCCCTGCCCAACACTTATCGACACAACGCTGAAAATGGCTTGTAAGTTTGAACTCAATCAAGAGTTTCAAGTCATGTTCGGTGATGAACATACCACAGAAATGAGTTTCACAGTATCTCTACTAAGGCATCGATCGCTGCGCCGTTCTGTCCTGAAGCTGTGTTCAGGATCAAGGCAGCTAGTTCCCTAAACGGTGCATTGTCAACGCGACCGCTTTGTGCATGCAAGCCTGCCCACTCGGGACGCACTAGCTGACAGACTTCACCACTGCTGCAGGAGTTGTGATCGTTGTAGCCGTATGCGGGGTACCAGATTTCAGCTCTCCCATGCTTGCTTCACCATGGCCAGGCAAATGAACCTCCGGCAGAGAGTTGCAGGATGATGCAGGCTAAAACGAGCTGCAGGTGGAACCTTTCGATTCTCGCCGTCACCAGCTCCTGCACCAGCTGGTCTGCACCTAAGCAGCCTGGCTCATCGTGGCTCTGGCGTTGAAGCTGAGCTGACTTTCGCGGCCCTAACCCCTATCAGATCAATCAGGTCCCTCCCTGGCGCCAGGTGTTCGTGTCGAGGACCTGCTTGTGACACCTCTCGCCCGGCTCGCCCCGTCTTCATGAGCTGCTGGGCCTGCGAAGGCTGAGTGGGTTCCTGGACGATGGCATGGTGGACAGGTGGGGGCGGTGGGGTGTGCTGCCTTCCAATGCCAACTCACAGACTGAACGTTGCTCTTAAATCAAATCTGGCAGGTTGTGGAGGCCCAGGGGTGTTCTACAGACAACAGCTTCTCGCCAAGTTTTCTTCGCTTCTGGATTCGGAGGTCTCGCCAGACGGAGCTCTGACCATCCGATACGACGATGGGTGGCACAGCTGCAGCTACTGAAGAAAAAGGGTGTTGCGTCTAAGTGCTCTCCCGCAAACCTCTCCAATGCCAAGGTATCTCCAGAGAAATGTTGCTCATGGAAAGGCACCAGCTGCGAGCCCTGTAGAATTGCATTTCAGCATGTTGGGGGCTGCACCTGGCGTGGGCTGAGTAGTTCATCGTGACCCACATCTGTGAGCATGTCGATGCACATTCAGCTTCGTCATGTTTGGTGGTTTTCGTGCGTGACACCTCTATAGGCGAGATGGCTTTGCCCTGGGAGCTGTTGGGCACCATCTTGGCACGCATTGGATGAGAGTTTTTTTCAGTGAAAAGCAAACGGATTAAATGTGAACATGCGCACTGTGCGCTTGAACGTTGTTCGCGTGCTCTTTGCACTGGGTCGCTGGGCTATCCCGAGTAATCCGTCGTCTGATGACGGGCTTTTTGTAGAGATCTATGGTAGAAGCACTTTTGAAGATAGCCTCGCCGAAGAGACGGAGTAGAGACGGCCCCGGTAGCGTTGACCTTGTTGCTCTCAGGGAAAGAGTGCGGGATATTCGGGATCAAAGCCAATGATCCCTGCTGTGCTTTAGGACCTTTAGGATGGTCGCCAATGAGCCACAGATTGCAAACCTCACCGAAATAGATTCACGGCTTTTGCTGATCTTGGCAGGTGCGTCTTGCCGCAAATGGAGCCGCAAATGGAGCCGCCATGGGATCATGTTCCCGGACTTACTGACTTGCTTGGCTTGCACTTACTCGTCGTTGACATGCACTGCTCCAAGGCCCTTTGCGCGCAGGGGTCCCGCCACCACCACCGCCAGCGGCATACCCATGGCCAGAGGCTGTCATGTCGCAACAAAACGCGAATATTTGGCAGAATCAGAGTTATCCAGCGGGACCCGATCAGGATGGAGTCACATCCAAGCCAGGCTCGGAGCGAGACTAGTTCATGTCAGTGCGTGCCTGCCTTCCTACAGCCAGATGAACACCTGTATGCGGGCGAAGACGAAGATCCATCCACCAAGAAGGCCCGGGCTGGGCAGTAACACCGCAGCCATGTTGACATGTTGACGCGCCGCTCAGTTCCGGAAACGGCTGTCCATTGCCGTGGACAAGGGCCGCACTGAGGAAGTGCAGGCACCAGAGTAGTGTGAGTAGTGTTGCTTGTTCTCCAAGTTTCTCTAGACTTGTGGCATCCGCCTCGACCGGGGCACGTCGCCGCTGCGGTGACAGGTGTGGTTGGGTGGGGGTAGGGGAGAAAGCAGCCGATCGAACAAACGCACAAGTAAGGAAGCAAGGGAGGGGGGAAAGGGACGGGTAGACAGGGGAAGGTAATGACAGGAAAAGTAGTCGAAGGGAAGAGCTTGGGGAAGAGTAGGGAAGAAAGGAGGGCTATCTAAAACACGAATACATAAAGAGCATTTGCGAGGCGTGGAGCGGCGAGGGGGGGGAGTAGCAGAAGGCGAGGGAGGAAGCGGGGTGGTTGAGGGGGGGCAGGAGGCCCAAATGTCCTCTCCTCTTCCCTGCAATGCCCTGCAATCGGGAATAAAAATGCAATTTAAATGACACGTTGAGACCCTTCTTTGGGCTTGAGGTTCCAACCTTTGAACCCTTGTGGGGTCCGACTTTTCCGGCGTTGTCCGCTCCTCGAGCATCATCGCACCTGTGTTCCAGCATTTGTTGAACACGTGCGCGGGCCCAGCCCCGAGTTTCTGCACGTGCTGGGCCGTGCGGAACGAAGCGTAGCACTTGATGTGTCTCGTGTTGCAATGTACCATAGTTGCAGTTTGCGGATCTGGTTCTGCCCAGAGCCTCTGGCCAGGCAGGTAGGTCAGTAGCCATTCGCCATTCGTTTCAGGGTTCATGGAGCTGTGTGACTTGCTGGGACTTACATTCGGATAAGCAAACAACACGTTTTTCGCGCACGCGCGTCAGAACCAAATTCGAGAAACACATATCTCCGAATTTTCGCACAGCGCGCCGCTGAAGATGCATATCTTCCAGAGGCACCTCTGGTTGACAAATA